TTCCCCCGCCCCTTACGGATTAACCCTTTGGGGGCTGCGCCGTGTCGCCCCCCTGTGGCGGCGGAGCGAGCTGCTCACCTGGCCGCAGGTCGTCTCCTGGAGCGTGCCAAGCCTCGATGATGAGCGAGAAGGTACCCTGGGAAGCGAAGGGGGGGCGGGGGGAGACAGAGATAGTGAGATGCGCAGGGGAGGGGGGAGGGGGCGCCTTGCGCCAGCCGGTTTAATTAATCTAATTGCAGGATACGGTTACAGCGCCCGGGTCAACATAACGGGTCTGCGCGCAGCTCAGCGCTCGAGCTGCGAGGGCCGGGGAAGAACCCCAGAGGGGAGCGTGTTGAAGGATGAGGGGCGGCCCGCCAGAGCCCTTCGGAGGCGGGAGACAGGCTGGGGTGCGAGGCCATGCAAAACGTACCCCAAGAGCTGGGGAAGGGGGAGGCTGGCGAGAGCCTTCCCGGGGATGAGGTCCCGGGAGAGGCAGAAAGGAGGCGCGAGAAGAGAGCGCGCTGCGTGGTTCTGTTTGGTTGCGGGGGGGCTAGGGGATCCGGGGAGCGGGCTTTGGTCCCAGGGAGCCCCCCCCACCCCACCCCCGCCTTTCTCAGCTCTCGTGACCTCCCAGTGCGCCCAGGCGGTGCTCACCGGCCAGGTGAAATTGAAGGGCAGCTGGAGAGGGTTGCGTCCCCCGCCGCTGCTGTCGTCCCCGACCGCGAAGGAGTTGGTGCCCAGCACGGGCGTGGAGACGCTGCCGAAGGTGCAGGGCCCGGGCGAGACGACCGCCTGGAAGTGCTTCAGGCAGACGCGGAAGAAGGTCCTGCAGTGGGGCTCGCACGGCCGCCCGCTGGCCAGGACGCCTCTCTCGTTGGCGAACTCCTGCAGCTGCAGCTGGAAGACTCCGGAGCCCGCCGCTCGCTGCGGCGCGGGGCCGAGGGAAGGAGCGGGGGAGCGGTCAGCGCGGCCGGCGCCGGGCGCGGGCGGAGGGCGCGCGGGAGGGGCGGAGGGGGCGCGGGACGTTACCTGCTGCCAAAGCGCCGCCAACAGCAAGAGCACCCAGCCGGAGGCGCTCGGGGATGCGGCTGCCATCCCCTGGGGCGTCGCTGCGTCCACCCGCCGGCCCCGACGCTGGCGCGGTGCTTTGGGAAGCCGCTTTCCCGCGCGCCCGGCCGCCGGAGGCGGTCACTGAGCAGACAGGCTCCGCTGGGGCTTCCTCCCGCTGCGCCTCCTCGCCAGGTACGGTCCAAACGGCACGGCAGGTAATCCAGGTGCGGGCGGCTGGGCGGCGGCAGCGCCGAGGGCTCGTCCTCCGGCTAATCCTGGGGCTGCGAGCAGCCTAGTGCCCGGGCGCACGGCGCTGGGACGGCTCGAGCGGCGACTCCTGGCCTCGTGTTCCCGGCTTGCGCTCGGCGCCGCTACTGAAACCTGCGCGCTCGGGCGCCTTCCTTATATATATTGGCTCCTCTCCTCGCCGCCTGTCACTCAGACTCATGGTCACTCTCTCCTCCCCTTGGGTCTCTCGCAGCTACAGTCCCAGCGCCGCCCGGAGGGGGCCTCCGCCCCCAACAGCCCCCCTCCCCCGCCAGCCAGTCAGGCGCAGGTCCCCGCCCCTCCGTGCCGTTCCCAGTCCCTGGGTCCCCCGGCTCCGCGCGCGCGGAGGTGGCCGGCTCTCCGCAGTCGCGGGGTGGCTGGCGGAGGCCCCGGCCGCGGGAGCATAAAGGGAGGGCCGGGGGCCGGGGAGCGGGAGGTGAGGGAGCAGTTCCCGGATGGCCATGGGGGCGGAGACTCTGGGGAGTCCCCGCGGGCTGTGCGTCGGCGGACGACGCCTGTTACCTGTAGCCCAGGAGCAGGTAAAAAGAACCTAAGCTCGGAAAACGAAACCATCTCCACCGGGCTCGGAGCTCCTACGCCTGCCCGGAGCTCCCGGAGCTCCCCGAGCTCTCGCCGCTGCGCCCCCCAACCTGTCAGCGCGCACCCGCCACGCGATGCCCAGCGCAGCGGGGAGGGCGCGGAGGCATTAACCTCTCTGTGGCCGCCCGGGGCCAGGCCGTGGGCCAAGCGTCTGAGACCCGGGGCGCTCTCCCTGCACCTGGTGGGCGTCTCCCTCCCGAGTTGCGGGGAGCGTGTGCTGCACGTGCCGCCTCTTCTTCGCCCGCCAGGGCGCGGCGCGTGCCAGCCCCTGCACGCGAGGTCGGGGAGGGGGGGCGCGGGGCGTGGTCCCCGAGGTGCAGCGGGGTGCGGGCGTCCCCAGCTGTATGATAATGAGGGTCTGACCCCGCCTCCAGCGCCTCCGCTCACCTGGGTTCGGCCTCGGCTCCGGCACCCACTGTCCCCCCACCCCCTCCGGCCCCCTCCGCGTCCTGCCGCGCGCTTAAGGCAGGAAGGAATTCTCCCGCTCCAGAGCCGGCTCCAGCCGCTGGAGAGTCAAGGTGAGGGCCGAGGCCCGGCCGCCCCGGGTCCTCCCCTCCGTGGCCGAGGTGCAGGGTGGAGCGGGGGGATCGTGGATTTACTTCGGGCGGCTTCGCCCAGTCGCGCCGTCGTGGCTCCCCAGGCCGGCCCCGCTTCTCCGCGGCGGCATTGCAGCTGCTTTCCCGGAACCCGGAGTGCTCCCCAGAGGCCGCCGACCGCGGAGGGCGGCTTCTCCGTCTCCGGGGTGCCTGGAGCTCTCTCCGCGACGCTGAGGGCCGCAGGGCCCGGTGGCTTCAGCTGTCAGCCCGCCCGCTCTGCGGGGGCTGTCGTCGGGCGATAAGATCGGCGCGGGGGGGGGTTGGGGGGGTCAGGGACGCGGCGCGGACCCCTGGGAGGCTTGGGGGGGCACGGCGCGGAGCCCAACAGCTGCCTATGCTGAGCTAGTCCGAGTTTTCTGACTGGGGGGTCGTGGTGGAGGATGGGGGAGTGAGATGAGAAACAAGGGGTTGGGAGCGTGGTTTGGGGGAGGGTGGAGGTGAGGAGACAGACTCCGGGGTCCCCACGCACGGCCACCCCTCCCACCCACCATCTGGCGTGAGCGGGTTGGCGTGGGGGAACCGAGGTGGGGCGGGGGCCGGCAGATGGGCCCAGGCTGGGCTCCAGAGTTAATGTAGGTTATGGACAGGCGGGGGACCCCGGCTGGAGGGAGGGGGAGCCCAGAGCTTGCCTTCACGGTCCTGACAAGTGGATCCTCATCTTCTCTCTGCCCATGCTTTACAAATCCCTTGACTTGCCCTACGGTGCCAGGAGGGCCCCTCACCGGCCTTGGAACTGCCACCAACCCTATCAAGATCTGTTCATCTCCAAATCTTGGATGAGAGTTCACAAAAACTTGCTCCCTTTTTTAGTGCTGGCACTTGCCGGTCCCAGATGACTAATCTCGCTCAATACTGATAGATCTGGAACAATCTCCACCCTTTATACACATCCACACTGATGTGTCCAAAAGCACTTTGCAAAAGGTCAAGGACCAGACAAAAGTATCACTAGTGTTCTCAGACACACAAAATGTAAGGGTTCCCAGAAACCTCTGACCCCAGGAGGAAAGGGTTAAGTTCTCCCTACCTCCGAAAGGCATACAGGAAGCACCTATTTGTGCCCTGAGCCCTGTTCCAGAAGTTCACCGCTGGGTTAGGACACCACCATCCTGGGCCCCCACCGGGCCTCCAACCTGCTAGGGTCCAGTTTTGCCCACATTTGTTGATCAGGAGAGTGTAGTGCTGGGAACCGGAACAGGGTGACCCTGGGGTTGGGTCTCCTCTCCCCCTTTTTCTCCACCTGGAGACTTGCAACAAACGTCCTCTGTGTTTACAGGAGCAGGAGGCTGTTGAGGCTCTCTGAGGTACAAATCGCAGTAGGATTGGACCCATGTGGAAGTCTGGAGACCTTGCTCCTATGCTGGTGCTCTGAGATGCTCTGGAGCCAGGGTGTGGATGCTGTGCTGACCCCAGCTCCCCAAGACTGACTGTGGGCATAGAGTTCAGGTTACTCACCCCAACAGGCACCCTCAATACTGCCCAGTGTAGGGCCTCCATGGAGGGGCAAGGGGTTAAGATGCAACCTATGAAGCTATCTGCAGCTGCTGCAGCATGAGTTCGATCCCCCACCAGGGAGCTACCCACATGGTGCAGCAGACCTCTCCTGACTCACCTGCTGCTCCCCTCAGCAGTGTATTTCAGTCAGTCTGCCCGTTCTGTTCCCCACTCTGTTTCTGGTGAATGATCTCACCCCCCACACCTCTAGCCTGTACCCCAGCTCTTGTATGCATAAATAAATAAATCTTAAAAAAAAAAAATACTGCCCAGTATAGAGAATGGGGACAGATCTAAGCCTGGCTTCAAGCAAAGCCTACAGCCTCTGCCCCCGGCGGCCTTCTGCATCAGGAGTGGACTCTGCTTGGCCGCTGCTCGCAGCCCCCAGCAGGCAGATCCCGCACATGGGCCAGGAAACGCCAAGGTTGTCTGCGAGCCTTGCCCCCAAGCTGACCCCGAGTTATACGGGTGCGATGGGCCCGCGTAGACCCTCGAGACTCCTCCCGGGCTGGGTAGCCTACAGTGTGCTCCCCGGGGGCGGCAGCGAAGCTCCGAGGCCTCCTGCGTTGTTCTGCCCATCCCCCCGCCCCCCCCCCCGCCCCGGGACAGCCTTCTCTGCCAGGCTAGCTGCACCCGAGCAAGGCACACGGTGGGGGCCGCGTGGCTGCGCCCGCCAGGCACACCGGGGGCGGGGCGCTTAAGCCTTGTGGGGCGCCGCTGTGGTTGCTGCGGAGAAGGGGCCACGTGCAGGGAGCGGCGGCCGGGGAGCTGCACAGAAGGCGGGGAGATTTGCAAACTGTTGCTGCCACATGGCTGCTCCATTCGATCCATTCACATTGAAATGAGGCCGGCGCGTGCCTCATCTGCCGCAGGGCGCTGCCACGCGTCAGCCCGGTCTGCCGCGTGCCAACTGGGGCAGTGGGGCTGGCAGGGTCTGCCAGGAGTGGGGGTGCAGCCCGGTCCCCGGGGCCAGAAGGGGGGCGGGGGAGGGAGCCGAGCTACCCTGTCCGCTCAGGCGCTGCCGTTCCTCGGACCTTGGCCCTGCAGGTGGAAGCATGCTGGCGAGTAAGGACCAGAACCAACGGGCTTCCAAGGGGGGCCAGGATCGATGTTGCCCCTCCCCGCAGATGCGCCCCGGCAGCGCTACTCTCCATCTGCCACTGCTCGCACCTGCCGGTCAATAAATCGATTTTACAATTTAATGCAGCAGCTTCCCGCCCGCCTGGGACAGATGCCGCCGCAGAACTACCTCCGCCCTCTCCCCTCCCCTCAAGGGGCGCCAGCGGTTAGTGCCGGGATTCCCGCTCCGCAGGCGGCACCCCGCGGGGCCCCTTGCACCTCTAGCAGGAGTCCCTACAAGGAACTGCCCGCCTTGGGTCTTTCCCCGGGAGCAGAGTGGGTTCCCCACAGGACAGGCCTGAAGCTAGTGGAGGAGAGTGGAAGATGATGACTTGGTGGCCCTGAGGACTCAGTTGGGAGCTTCAAGGGAAGAACACGCTGCCCTGAGCCGGTGGGTGATAGCTGTGGGAGACCCTGTAGAAAGGAGGGAGGGGCACGGGGCGGGGGGTGAAGACGCTGAGTCCTGAAGAATCTCCAGAAAGGGTTGGGAAGGTCTGAGGTGGAAAGGGACCTCTCACCACCCGCTGGTGGAGTCTGCGGAATAGCAAGACATGGATCTGGTTCCTGGCACTTCCCAGCCCTGTTTCTGGGTTTGTAATTGAACCCAAACGGTATGCCTCAGATTTCTCCTTCTGTGCAGTGGGGATGATAGTGACCAGGAGGGTAACTGCCCGTCTATATCAGGTTATACATTTGCTGGGCCCAATAAACATTGATTTCCTTTCCCCCAGATAACATCCCGGCAACCAGGGCCAGGCTTGGAGTAGAGGCCCACGGACAGACTTGGCATAGAGGTGGGATTCCAGATGGCAAAAGAGTTCCCGGAGGAAAGGAAGGGAAAAGGAGAGTCCAAGGCAAACAATCCTAAGGGATGAGGCAGGGGGACGTGGTGGTGAGGGGGGCGCGGATAGAGGAGAGCATGGTAGAGCATGGAAGGAAGGTGGACCTTGTGGAAAACCTTAGCTGGGAGGGGCTTTGTGGTGAGAGGACATGAGGAGAGCCATCACTGGAAGAAGGCTGGAGTTTCAAGAATGGGTTTGGAGAAGAGGTGAAGTTTGGAGAAGCCCATTGTCCAAGGTCTTGGCCTTCCAGGACCAAGCGTAGGTTTCAAACGGCACCCTACTTCATGGTAGCAAGCTGGAGCAGAGGCACCCAGGAGGAAGGAGAAGTCAACTCTGGGACTCAGCCCTCCCCACATCACTGAGGGAGCAAACAGATTGGGCTGGACCCCACTGGCTGATGGCTTATGACTGATGACCCAAATGTCCCAAGGAAATGATGCCCAAGTGGATGAGCCCCTGGAGTATGAGTCGAGTGACTGCCTGACCCCTCATGAGACTAGGAAGGCCTCCTCCCTCCTGTCTCCCAGATTCCCAGGAGCCGGAAGCACCTAGGCTACCCCATTATTGTGTGTCCGTTGCTTTCTCAAACAGACCCAGTGTAGGTGGTACCTCAGGCTGAGGCAACCAGTACGGAATGGGCCTTCTCCTCCATGAAAACAGCTTTGGTCTGCAGAGACAATGGGTCCAAGAAGGGAGAAGCTGAGGGCCCCTGACCCAAGAACCCCCTTTAAACTGTTTAGCAAGAAAGGTCTCCAGGCCTCCTCTGTGCTGATCAGGAGGGAAGGAGAGAGAGAAGGGGCAGATGAGAAGTGCAGGCTGGAAGCAAGGGCTTGCAGTGGTGATCCAGCAGCTGGCCTGGCTTCATTTGCCAAACCCAGGGGATGCCTGGAAAGCTGGGGCCAGGAGCCATGTGGCGGGTATTTCCAGCCACAGAGAAGTCCAGGATTTAGGGCGGCCTCCAGGGCAACTTTCCCAGAGCCCCTGGCTTCCCTTTCCCTAGCTCCTTCCTGTCTCAAATAGCCTGCGAACAGGGAGGCTCAGGGGAAGGGAAGAAAGACTCAGGCCCCCTTTGCACAGAGACCCCAAGGTTGCAGGTCTGGTCCCAGCCTGCTCTTGCCTACTGCCTAGACCTGGTAGAGCACGGAGGACTTGAGAGGAGAGTTACAGGACTAGAGAGCAGAGGGCACATGCAAAGGCACTGCTGAGAGTGTTGGGGTCAAAAGAGAATCTTCTGTCAACTTATGCAGAAGAGGGTGGGGGGGGTAGCAGAGCCCAAATTAAAAGCAAAGATCAGGATCTCCCTGGTAGCACAGGAGTTAAAGACAGCACTATCAGGCAATTGGCGGCCACTGCAACACGAGTTTGATCCCTGGCCCCTGGCAGACCTGTCCTATCTCGCCCGCTGCTCCCCTCAGCAGTGTATTTCCGTCAGTCTGCCTGTTCTGCTCCCAGCTCTGTCTCCGGTGAATCCTTTCACCCACCGCACCTCTGGCCTGTACCCCAGTTCTTGTATGCATAAATAAAATAAATCTTTTTAAAAAATGAAAATAAGGACCTCCCTGGTGGCGCAAGGGGTTAAGACACAACCTATGAAGCTATCAGCAACCACTGCTGCATGAGTTCGATCCCCGGCCAGCCAGGGAGCTACCCACATTGCGGGCAGACCTCTCCTGCCTCGTCTGCTGCCCCCCGCAGCAGTGTATTTCAGTCAGGTTGCTTATTCTGCTCCCCACTCTGTCTCTGGTGAATCCTCTCACCATCCACACCTCTGGCCTGTACCGCAGTTCTTGTATGCATAAATAAATAAATTAATTTATCTTTAAAAAAAAAAGGAAAATAAACGCAAAGGTCAGGTGCCCCCTCAGCCCTGGATTTTGGACCCAAGGTTTTTCTTCCCCTACAGAAACCTCATCCACTCATCCTCTGCTCTGAGTTCACCTCCACTGTTCCTTCTCTTGCCCCCATCACACAGCTCACCTGAGCCTCTAATCTCTTCCCTGTAAACAGTTGACAGGTGGGAAGTTCTCCCAGTGCCACCCTCCCCGCTGGGCCCTCACTCCCCACTTCTGCTTCCAGCCTCTCATTATTGTCCCTGACCCCTTGGTATTCTAGGTCCTTGCGTATCCTTCACCTTCCCCCATTGAGCAACAACTCATCTCCTAGAAGAAACTCTGACCTCTCGCATTTCCCTACACAACCTCTGATCTCTGATCCCAGCTACCACCCAGGGTTTGAAGCAAGCAAGAGATAGGGGATGGAGTCACACCTCTCCCTCTGGAGAGCCTGGGAGTGAGGGTTACTCACACAGGCCCTGGTCCCCTGACCTGGGAAGGAAGGGTCAGGCCTGAACCAGGAAGTGTTGTGCTTCAAACACTCCCCTCCGCAGTGAAAAAAACCAGGAACAGGCACCAACTCTGCTAACAGCTGCCTGAGCAGCAGCTCGCTGTTGCCTGAGGAGGACTCTGACAGCCATGGTCCAGTAGGTGATGGGTCTTAAGTAAAGGATGGTGACCAGCTGTCTCCTTCTCCCACCATGGGCAGAATGAGAGGAAACAGGCTTCAATTGTGGCAGGAAGGATTTAGGTTAGACATATGGGAGAACTTCCTGTGACTGTGTCTACACCAAGTCTCCCTGTTGTGAATCCAGATTGAACTCTCCCCTGGAGTTGATGAGAATTGCATGTTGATGCTTGCTAATGAGTAACCTGCCTTGTCTGTGATTAACAAATAACTCCTGCCCAGAGAGTTGTCTTGTGTCTAGACTATCCCCAAGGAAGAAGTCTGGAGACCTGGGAGGCACCAGAGCCCGTGCCCCCATTCAGCCTCAAGGAGTTTTCTGGACCTCGGTGGGCCACCTTGAGCCAGTGTCACTTTGCCTCCCACCAGTCCAGACTTCTCAGAAAAGCATTCCCTCTGGAGCTGTCCAGTCACATAAACTTTGCAGCCAAGGGACAGGCTGCATTTGAGGTCTGAGAGTTCATGGAGAAGTTCCGGAGTGCTGGTGGGAGATTCAGGGTCTCCAGCACCAGTGGCTTCAGTAACAATCTCAGATAACACTCTGATTTTAGAAATAGATATTTTTTTTTTGTACCCACTCACTCCGGTGTCATGTATCCTTCTGGGGCAGTGACACTCCCATTCCGGCCACTAAGATCTCTGCGGCTCACTCACCCACCGCTCTGCTGCTTCCTCTTCTCTCATATCCACTTGATCTCTGCTCCTGCCCTCTCAACACAACTCTTCTTTGGGTAGGGAGGAAGCTGGGGACTCCTGGGGTGAATTCATCAAACTGCCACCAAAAGAGAATATAGGCCAAAAAGACTGGTTCCTCCCAGACATTCAAAGATCTTAGCCAACTCGACACCAATGAAGAAACCTAATTAACAGATGAGCAGCTTGAGCTGGTGGCACAAGGGGTTAAGACACAACACTATGAAGCTGTCCGCAGCCACTGCAGCATGAGTTCAATCCCTGGCCAGGGAGCGACCCACATGGCGCAGCAGACCTCTCCTGTCTCAGCAGCTGCTCAGCAGTGTACTTCAGTCATTCTGCCTGTTCTATTCCCCACTCTGTCTCTGGTAAATCCTCTCACCCCCACACCTCTGGCCTGTATCCTAGTTCTTGTGTGCTTGGATAAATAAATCTTTAAAAAAAAAAAAAAAAAAAGATGAGCAGCAGATCTGAATAAACAGTTTTCCAAAGTGGATATACAAAAGGGCAATAGTATATGAAAAAAGAAATGCTACTGCACCTTTTGCTCATTTTTTCCACCATTAATTCTGATAAAGGAAATGCAAATCAAAACCTCAAGGAAATATCATCTCATACCTATGAGAATGGCACATATCAAAAAGACTTCCAACAACAAATAATGGAGAGGATGTGGAGAAAAAGGAACCCTTTTTGAAGCAGCCATTTTGGAAAGTGGTCTGGACCTACCTTAAAAAGCTAAAAATGGACATACTAGCAATTCCACAATTCCACTTTTGAACATGGAATCAAATAAAAAAAAATTCATATGCTCGGGCCTCCCTGGTGGCTCAAGGGGTTAAGTGTCAGCACTACGAAGCTATCAGCTAATCCACATGGCACAGCAGACCTCTCCAGTCTCTCGCTTGCTGCTCCCCTCAGCAGTGTATTTCAGTGGATATGCCTGTTCTGCTCCCCACTCTGTCTCTGGTGAATCCTCTTACCACCACCACTACCACCACACCTCTGGCCTACACCCTATGTATATATGTATACATAAATAAATAAGCTTAAAAAATTCATATGCTCCACAATGTTTACTACAGCATTATTTATAATAGAACACTGAGAGATGAGTGGATAAAGAAGATATGGTATAGACACACGATGAAATAATGTTCCAGGGCCTCCCCGGTGGCACAGGAGTTAAAGATACAGTGCTATCAAGCTATCGACAGCTACTGCATCATGAATTCAATCCCGGGCCAGGGAGCTAACCCACATGGCACAGCAGACCTCTTCTGTCTCGCCAACTGCTCCCCTCAGCGGTGTATTTCTATAGATCTGCCTGTTCTGCTCCCCACTCTGTCTCTGGTGAATTCTCTCACCACCCCCACCCTGTACCTCTGGCCTACACGCCAGTTCTTGTCTGCCTAAATAAATAAAAATAAATCTTAAAAATAAAAGAAATACTGTTCCACTATAAGGTTAAATGCAATGTTACCGTTCACAGCAAAATGGAAGGAACTGGAGGGGATTATATGAAGTAAGCCTGAGAGATAAAGACAAATATTGGGGCCTCCCTGGTGGCACAAGGGGTTAAGCACAGTTTAAAGGAAGCTTTATGGTGGGTAGGGGATTGCAACTGGCTCTGGCTCGGAAAAAAATGCAGAACTGAGATAAAGAGAAGAGAGGGCACTCCTGGCCTGAGAAATGAAGAGAGAAAGAGGATCAGGGTGGGAATGAAGTCAGTCCAGCTGCAATGACTTTATACGTGGAAGGTTGGACCTGAGGTTAGAAAGCTAGGGGATGGACACTGACCAGACAGATGAATTTGGACTTGACTGATAGGTATCAGGGAAGCTGCGGGTTCTTGAGCAAAAGAGGGTGTTCCGCTTCCATCTGGCCATGGTGTGCAGGGTGATCTGGAACAGGGAGGTGCAGAGGGAAGGCGAGACGCAGGAGCTCTCCAGATCTGCGGCTGATGACCAGGTATGCACCAACGCCTGGGGCCTGTCCCTCAGATGGATGGGCCCTTGAGAAGCCAGACTCTTGTTGACCTGCTAGTCAGGTCCCCTTCTTTTCTAGTCCACAGCTGCTCTCTCCCCTGCTTTCCAGATAGAACTCTGCAAGCATGACCAGCCTCAGGTCTCCCCTGCTCCCATACTGAGAGTGGGGGCCGCTGTGGTCATGCCAGACATCCAGCCAACGCCCCTCCTTTCCCCTCTGAGGTCTAGAGCCCTGACTAGCAGCCCATCCTTGCCTGGCAGAGGACGAAGGGTTGGATCAGGCTGGAACCCACCAAGGGAATCCAGAGGTATCATTGTAGAATGATCTGGGGCCCTATGTCTAGAAGTTCAGGGTGAGGTGAGCTCTCAAGGGCATCTACACCAACCACATATTCCATAGCCAAAGGCTCGAATACCTTCAGGGATGGGACTCTTACTCCTCCCAGGCTGCTCCCTGTTCTTTAGATGATTCTGGTTATTCAAAGTGCATTCTCTCTTTGACCCAAAAGTTCTACTGTGGTCAGTGTGGGCTAGTGGTGTGGAAGGGTTCTGTTTTAGCTGGGCCTTTCTGAGGGGCTTGTGGAATGGCCCCACCAGAGGGAGAGTCCACCAACCTCTTGGGTCTGAGGTGGCTCTGCTGGTCCTGTAGGCCCCCCTGCAGCGCCTTGTTGGCGCCCTTGGCTAGAGCAGTTTGAGCGTGAGAAGCACCAGTTGGTTCCCAGCTCGGCCCCAGGGGGTGGGGCAGCCAGGGTGAGGCCAACCCCGGTCAGGACTTCTCAGCCTCACCGGGGAGGCCAGGCTGGGGTCAGCCTGTCGCAGGGGCCAGCCCTCCCCAGGCTGAGATCATCGCTCCCTGGCCTCCATGGCAGCCCCCACCCCCAGCTGAGCTCACAGCCCTGGCCCGCTGGGGGACATTGTTGTCTCCCGGCCCCTCCCCCGGACTCAATGAGCTGTTTGTTGGCATGTCCGGTGTGGGCAAGGGGAGGGCGGAATGGGGCGCCGCACACAATGGGGATTCCGTCCATTCTGAGGTGGCTGCGGGAACCAGGCTGGCTTTGTCCCTCAGACCCTCATTCCCACCATTTAGAGGAGCCGGAACTCTAGGCGGAAGGCCCCGTATAAGAACAACAATGTCGTCACCCTGTCTGTGGGGGAGGGTGCTGTGGGACCTAGGGCACCCACAGTCTGGGACAGCCTGAGGTGCACTTGGGACAGGTCCTTGGGCTAAGACTGTGCCTCAAATCTGAGGGAGACTCACAAGGCAGATGGGCACCCCTCACCTGCCCGTCGGTCCACCTGCAGCCTGCAGCAAGCACAGAGGATGCTCCCTGGCATCCCTAGCCTTGCTCAGCTCCTCCTCATGCAGAGGTGAGCACTAAGGTGCAGAAGGCACAAACACATCCTTTTAGCCCCATTGGGTGATGTGCCATTAAAGGCCCGAGTTGGGGGTGGCAGGCCTTTTTGCATCCAGCCTCATCAAAGGCCTTTCCTCCAAGCTGGGCTCACACTCCTTTCTGGGCCTCTAGCCCAGTCGGCCTGCCCCTTCGGAAGTGGTGCTGGCTGTTCAGACAACAAGTGTTTATTTTCCAGGGTTGGGGGGACAGGACGTCACTGCGTTTCCCTCCTGCCTGGTGCTGTAGAGGTTCTCACAGTCTGGGCACTGGTGACATCACCAGCCTTTCCTCTTGCGCCCTGGCCTCCTCGCCGCCCCCTCCCCCCACCCCATCCTCAGGCCCGGCTGCCCGTTTCTGAGGCTCCACTTCCGGCCTGGGCACTTGTGAGCGGGTCCTCATGGAGGGTGTGAGAGGGGCCAGGAAGTACTGGACCAGCCCCTCATTCACTGCTCTTGACATTCAGAGTAACCTAGGGGGTAGCCCCTCTGTGCTCGCCCTCACCAGAGTTGCTGCTGTCCCCCCCAGGCATGTGCCTAGTGAGATGCTGGCCCTTTAAGGGCCTTGGGAAGCCAGAACAACAGGAAATCCAAACGGCCTCATTAGGCAGCTCGGAGCTCAGCACAGTAATTAGTGCCCTGAAAACAAAACAAGGAAAAGCAGGTGGTGGTGCCCCCCCTCAATCTCGGCTGCCCCCAGCGTGGCCTGTTAGTACCCAGAGCTAGGCAGCTGGGACTGGAGCCCCTTCATTCTAAACCCCCCACCCCCACCTCAAGCTCCTGAAGTCTGCTGCCCATGGTCCAGGCCAAGGGTCAGCGCCTAAGCTTCTGGGGAGCAGGCAGTGGCTTCTGGGCCAACCCGCCAACCATTTCCCTCTGGGAAGACAGAAGCCCCAGGGACATGCACTGGGGCTTCCCCGCTCCCGCAGCCAGGTGGCCACTTGTCCACAGCATCTTCCACCTGTTTGGAAAGTGCTGTGATATGGGCTGAGAGCTGGGTTGGGCCCATCTAGAGAAAGAGGGGAGACCCCTGGGAAACCTAGGTGACGAAGGCCCCCTTAGGAGAAGGGAAAATCCTGCTTTGTGGTCCTGCCTTTTAGGATCGCTGGTGATTCTCCAGGTGGGCAAGACCACTCAGGCAGAGGGGGTGATCACCCACAAGCCCTCTGGACAGACTCTGGGGGCTTTCAAGCCCCAACAGTTGGTGAAAGCCTGGCCAAAAGCCAATAGGGGCCATCAATCTGACGAATTCTCTTCAGCCAGGCTGCAGGCTCTGGCTCATTCTATCCTCTTCTCTCTGCATTTGATGCAACGAAACTCCACCATTCTCCAACCCATGAGATATCTCCCTTCATTTGTACTGCTAGGAGATGAACATATGATGCTCCACTTAAGAAACAAATATTCATGGGGCCTCCCTGGTGGCGCAGGGGTTAAAGACACAGCGCTATCAAGCTATCTGCAGCCTCTGCAGCACAAGTTCCATCTCCCAGCTGGCCAGGCAGCTAACCCACATGGCCCAGCAGACCTCTCCTATCTCGCCCAATGCTCCCCTCAGCAGTATATTTCTGTGGATCTGCCTGTTCTGCTCCCCACTCTGTCTCTGGTGAATCCTCTCCCTACCTCCCAGCACCTCTGGCCTACACCCCCGTTCTTGTATGTAGAAATGAATAAATAAATCTTTAAAAAAAGAAACAAATATTCACTCAACAAACATATATGGAGAGGCTCAATAATCCCTACACTGTGCTGGTGGGGAGTTCCTGGGAAGGTTTGGGGGAATTCAAATGGTACTTTGTAATAGCTCATTACTGTCCTTCCCTGTCTTCAGAAGGCTTTAAGGGCTGGGCCTGTAGCTCTCTCCATGTGCCCATCCTCTCATAGACCTAGCATTCAGGTAACTGGTACAGGCCTACAAACAATCAAAAATGAACCAGGAATCATCTCTGACTTCAAAGAGTTTATTGTGGCCACTCAGTATATAGCATGTCACAACATCATGGCGGGTCCCCCAGCCCTTGGGGAAGGTCACAATCTCTCTGCTCAGAGCCCAGATCTCCCTGAGGGCCCTTGATTTTGTACAGATCAAGGGCTGAGGGCATTGTGGGGAAAGGAACCTCCCGGTCCTCCTGAGAACAAAGCTGGCAATGACCCTCTGGTGTGGGGAGGAGCTGGGCCTAAGGCTGGGGTGGGGGGCGGTGGGGATGGGGGTGGAAATGCTGAGTGAGAGAGCAGGCAGGTTGAGTGTGGATGGTGGCCAGCCGATGACCAATGAATGGGGCTGTAATTAAGCTGTGGGTAGGCTTCTGGTCACACTCCTGTTGGCTGAGAACAAAGGCCCCAGGCATCATAGCTCAGGGGGAAGGCAAAGGAGCAGAGGGAGGGGGCGGGAGGGGGGGTAACCCAGAACCTGCTATTGGGTTGAGCAGCTGGCCTCCAGCTGGACAGGGAACTCTGCCCACACCTCTGGAGGCCATCAGCTAAGTTGTAATTTCTGAGGGGTCCAATCTGGAATTGAGGGGTCAGCACTAATATTAGAGGTGGAGGGGACCAGCCAGTAAGTGACCAAAGGATGACAGGGTCACGGAACAAGGGTCCTCGGTCCTGCCACGCACCAGAGTCACGTGAGCAGCTCTCTACAGTTTCAGATATAGTTGTTCTGGGATGAGACCTAGGAGTCACTGGTCTTTTCTAAAAGCTCCCCAAATGACCCCGTAGGTAGCCAGGCCTGAGAATTACTGCTCCCTGTTTTAAATCCTAGAGCCTCACATGTCCTTCACTCCCTGAAGCCCCTGGAGCTCAGAGGCCACAACCACCGGACCAAGTAGGGCAAGTGCCCTGGGCCAAGAGGGAAATTGGCTACAGAGGCCCCCAGTGCTGGAGGTGGGGCCTTTGGGGAAGTCCTCCTCTTCTGCAGCCCCCCCCGCCCCCCCCAACCCCTGCGGAAAATAACCCAGAGAAGCGCTGTGGGCAGACAAGGAAAGAAGCTTGGAGGAGGAATACCCTGAGGTGCCCCTGGCCTCACAGGGCCCCAGAGGAAGGGATCCTCCTGCCTTCCCCGCCCCCCACCTCCCTGACCTGGGAACAGCACCCTGGACAACTGGCTGGGGATGGGAGGGAAGAGAGGTAGACGCAGCACCTGAGCCGATGGGGCCTGATCCCGTTCAGGGACATGCTCTGGTCCTGAATCATTTCCCGGATATAGCTCCAGAGCCCAGACTTCAAGGTTTTGGGGGGGAAATCTTTTTTCCAAGTTCCTCGATCTGTCATCCCCCTCCCCCGCCCGCCGGATAGGCCTGGACCAGTGTCCTCTCTCCTCCTCGCTCCCCTCAGCCTCCCTGCTCAGGCTTCTCCACTCTGCTCCCTGGACATTGTTTCCCGCCTCAGGAAGTCTCTGATGCCCTGCGCTGGATTTTGTTTTCCTTGTTATCGGGACAACTAATATTTTTTCCTGTGCGGAAAAAAAAGAGATTTTCCCAAGCAGATTACAGCTGTCAGTGAGGGAGGAGGGGGCTGGAGAATGAGCCTTCCCTACTACCCTTGTAGGACTGAGCTTTTGAATGGAGGAGGCCCTGGCCCTGGCACAGAGCAGCTCTGGCCCTGGCTCTAAAGTCAGAGCCCCATCATTTTGTTACCTGTGGGGCCCCTGCTCCCTGCTAAAAGGGTTGTCCCATGTACTAGACCACATTGCCAAGGACAAGGAGATAGCCCTGGGCTTACCTGGCTGCTGGTGGGGCAGCTTCTGGTGGCAGGACACAGGGAGAGACGCCTGAGGGGGTGGGAACATGCAGGAGACGCAACTCTGTGGAATTGTGTGACTGGGCAGTTTCCTCCCCTCCCCTCTTTGCATCTTGGGCTCCCTCCTCTGATACAGACAGATTGACAACCACCTCACCCACTTGCCCCCACAGTTACGTTGTGAGGATGGTTCAACATCAGGGGCTCTTATGACTCAGGTGAGGGGGACCGATGGCAGGTGTCCCAGGATCTGTGTGACCTGAGTGAGGTCTCCACAACCAGCAGACCCAGCAAGCAGAGGCTGTCTCCCGAGCAGTTTGCTTGAATGACACGACCGAGGTTCACATGCACATGTGTGCATGAAAACATGCACATGCATACAACATGCACACACACAAGTGCGCACACATACACACATGATGCATTCTTCCTTGATAAATGCTTTCCTACATTTATGCGGTCCGAGGGACAGGTTGTCTGGGTTATAGGGGGCGGGGGTGGAGCAGCTGTGGAATAACCACCACTGCAGTGGTAGGGCCTGGACTTTGATGACCAAGTTTCTTTTCAAGTTAACAGTAGAAGATTCCAGAGGTGACTTACGCAGTCGTTTGTGGTTTGCTATGTATTAACAACCCCCCCCCACATACACACATACACCCTGTACCCTCCTGCGAGGTGGATGGTCCCTTCAGAGAGGCTCCCCTGCCTTTATCTGATAGTGTGGTGGGTGCCCCAGTGGGCTGCGTACAGGAGTGAGCAAGGCCATCTCCAGAGAGTGGGGGAGGGGGGGGTGTGGAGGAATGGGAAGAGAGAGAAGGATTTCTTTTTAGACTTATTTTTTTATCTCATTTATTCTTTTTAGACCTTCAGATTTCTTTCTAGACTTATTCTTTAATAATGTTTACCATGTGTCTGGCTGTCGTGTATAATCTACACAAGAGTATTCATGGTCAAAAAAAGTTTGGAGCCCACCATCTTGGGGGACTGCTGAGGGCTTTATATCCTATAACAAGTTGGTCTCAGATTGGGTGGTGGGTGAGGGAAGTGGGCATGGGGGAGAGAAGGGAGAACCCTGGGTGCAGAGCACTTAGGTCCACTTTGACTCCTGGATGCCACCTGCAGGGTGGACCTTCCTGGCCACCGCTGGCCCCTGTGGCCTCCCATGTCCTTGCCTGTCTTCTCAGGCCTACTTAAGGTGCAGGTGGGTGCTAGGACTTCTAGCTGCCGTGCTCCCTGCAAGGGAGAGAGTGATCGTGTATGACACTCCCCTCACTCCCAAGTTGGCTGAAGTGCCGCTGGGGTCCCTGTAGCTGCCCTGAATGCTGTCACCCCCAGGAGAAAAGTCCCTGGCGGGAGGCGGCCCTCTGCCGGGAGGCTGTTTCCTCAACCATCCAAGGTAAGAAGTGGGGGATTTCCAGCACTGTCCATGAGCTGACTTCAGTACTGGGGGTGCCTCTCCTTTCTCATGTAGCCCAAGCAGGGGTAAGGACAGAAACTCCAAAGTTAGGCCTCGTTTTTTACCAAGGGGCGTGGAGGCAGCAGAGTCAGCTAAGCCCACAAGGCTCCAGCTGTTACTCCCTGTGGAGAAAACCGAGCCCAAGGCGGAACCCCAGGGTTGCACCTGGGGACTCAAGGGCCCAGCCCTGGAAGACCCCGACAGGCATCTTGGTGGGGTGTGGAGGGGGTTCTGGAAATTCAGAGCCACACTTACTCATGGGCCTGTGGGGAATGACTCAAATTGATGAATGCCCCGGCCTAAAACCAACCTACCCTGGCTCTGGTGGGAAGAGGAGTGGCATGTTTAAAACCCACTCCTGAAGGCTCCGCTAAGTACCCGGCACTTCCAAGGAAGCTGGAAGTTCCAAGAAGGCAGTGTAGCCCATCTGGGAGCCAGGAACCCCACATCTTGCCCCGAAATCTTGACCACCAGGAAACTAACCGCTCCTGTATTCATGCGCTGAGATCGGCTGGACAGGAGAGTGGGCGTGCCCCTGGGATCTGAGTGGAGGCAGAGGGGTTGACTTGGTGCTAGCGCAACATACAGTTGCCCCAGCTCTGACGTGGGCTCACTGAGGCCCAGGCATGCACTTGCACTTAGGAAATAGGTAGATAGATGCCCCTTATTCCTTCATGGAGATTCTCTTAGGCCTCAGACCTTGTGAAGTTTCATTTCATTACCTGCCTTGTGTGCATTTGCTATGTGTACAGCTATCCGTGCTTTGTGCAGAGACACGCACATGTAGGCGTATGTGACCGATGTGTGTCTCGGAGAAACAGGAAGGGCCTCTTGCTAGGTTCCTGAGCACGCGTATCCCTGAGAGGTGAGATGATAAATCCAGCCACACCAATGCAGGCTAGCAACATACTGCGATAATGTACACACATTATCACCAATCTACAAGTAACCAATCCTCTGAGGAAGGTGCTATTATCTCCATTTTACAAATCAATCAAGTGAGCGGAGCTTAGAGAATGACTAGCCCGAGGTCTCAGTAAACAAATCCAGGCCAGAATTTGAACCCAGATCAGTATAAGGTCAAGTCAGAGATCTCTCTCCCAGTCTCTCAGCCTGTCCTTCTCCATTATGCCCCATCTACTCCTTGTCTCTGAGCAACTAGCTGCCCTATCTGAGGTGATAGGCCCTCCCCCACCCCTTCTCATCCCCTACAGTCAAGAAGGCGAAGCAGAGCCAAGATGCAATGCCTAGAACTCCATATATCAAGCCAGTCCCCAGTTCAGAGAGGGTCTGGCTGGCCCTGGGCGGGATCAGCTAGGGCTGAGCAGGGACAGCTGTTTACAGTAAACAGCTCCTGAGGAAGGAAGGAGGGGAGGGGCTGGGGTCGTCATGGAGACAGGGACAGAAGCCTGGCCGCAGCCCTGATCCACAAGGACTGGTAACACATCCCTGCCCCTTCTAGAGCTGGAGGCGGCCCAAGGAAGGTCTGGACAAGGCAGCCTGAGCACGAAAGGCAGAGGCAGGCAAGCCAGGTCTCACAAAAGTGCCTGCTGCAAACACAGTCCTACCTCTACCAATTTCTACTTATTATTAACAATAACAACTGCTGTTTGTTGAGCTTTTAAAGCATGCCTGGCCCTTGGCATCTGAGAATGTTCTCTTATTTAACTCTAACAACAACCAGGAGGTAGGGAGGTAGAGTAATGGTCTCTAATTTATAGATGAGGAAATTGAGGTTTAGAAAGATTAAGTAGTTTGTCAAGGTCACACAGTTCATAAGCGACAAGCAAAAAAAAAAATTGGATCAAAGATTTTTTAACAAGGCAAGTAGAAGATGAGCTAGCTGGTAAAAAGGTCTGAGCCCCTCAGCTGGTGGGGAAACTGAGTCTGTTGGATAGCAAGGGGACTTTCCCGAGCTGCTGTCGTTAGTCAAAGAGATTACTGGGGACAGAACCCATATGTTCCAGCCCTAACCACCAGACCACACGGCTTCTCCATGGCTTGAGCTGGGAAGGTCCAAAGAGAAACTCCCTTTCCAGCCCCAGCCTGGAGTGTAGACTCTTCCCCAGTTAACAGGCTGCCCCTGCCGAGGCAAGTTTGGGCCGCGGTGCCATGGGGGATGCTGGGGGGTTTCTGCCCACACATTAGTTTCCAGATTTCAGGGGATGAAAAGGAGGCCCTTTGGGGCGGAAATGGGGGATGTGCGATGACAAATTTAGACTGATTATCTTAAAAAAAGAAAAGCCAAGAAACCCTAAAAACTAAAAGCAAAAATTCCGCTAGAAAACCAAAGGGAATTATTTGATTGTGAAACTGAATGGCATGAGGCGCAGCACGATTGAATGCGGAACTGTAGCAAGGGTTCTTCCGACTTCACTGCTTAGAGGATGCCCCGAGGGAAGGAGGCTTGGTCTACTGGCCCCCACTTCACCTGACTTTGTTTGGGACAGGGATGGACTAGCCTGGCAAGGCACCTGGGAAGATGTCTGAAGTCCAGGAGCCCTTGTTGGGGGGCTCTCTCCTGGAAGGCTTAGGCCCTTCAGCCAGCCAGACTCCAAAGGTCCTGTTGGCTTATGGCCAAGAGTCCCCATGGCTCATGGCGGGAGCTGCCCCAGAGGAGGCTGTAGTTGGTCTGCACCCAAGAGCATGTGAAAGGATGAACTGTAAGGTGGGGGGCTTGGGTGTCTGTGAATCCCAGCTTCAAAGGGAAATGGCCAGGAATAGAAGATAAAAGAGAGACAGCTGCCTGGAATTCTGGCCTGCAGCAGGCCCAAGGGGTCAAAGGTCAAAGGGGGACAAGGGGGACTTTCTGAGGCTCCCAGGGGAGTGCCAGCCAGCCAGTCAGCCAGGCTGTTGTGTAAACTCAGGGCTGGACCATGAGAACAGGCTGGCAAAGGAGCCTTGCCTGGTCCAGTTCCCTCAGTCTATCCTATTGGACCCTGCAACGAGACTAGTGCCCTCTCCCCCAGGAAACCCAGACCCTGTGTCCCAAGGTGTCCCTCCTGTGCCAGCTCAGTGACCATATTCTATATGCCGAAGGGCTTCCTCTTCTGGGCTCATCCAGAACGTCTCTCCTCAAAATCACCATTTTTTGAGAAATCAGAAAATCAAGTTAGCCCCTCTTCCAGTTCCACACTGATTCCAATTCCACACTGATTCCCAACGAGGCATTCAAAGGGGTTTAGGAGGGAAGAGCCAAGACAAGACAAAACACAAGCCAGGGTCCCAACCTGAAAGAATGAGGTGCAGAGTGAAGGGGAAGACAAGGCAGTAGGCAGGAACTGCTCAGGGGCCAGGCCTTGAGCTAACTGCAGATGTGGGACTGCCCTCCTGAGCTACACTGGAGCTTCTCAACGTCACGTTACAAGGGAAGAACTTGAGGTTCCCAGGATATGATGAAACTGACAGCTGCTAAGTGGCAGAGCAGAAACCTGCACTTGCTCTTTCCACACCGCCTCAGCTCAGCGCACCTTGGCTAGAGATGGAGAACCAGAGCAGAGAAGGGTCTAGGACAACGCTTGGCTGCCAGCGGGCATGGGGTCACTGCCGATGGGTGCAGAATCCCATGGAGAAGAGACAGGATTCAGGATGGAGCTAGGGCCAGTCACCAATTTGTCCTTTTAGATCCAGCCTCTGTAAAATCAGGAGGCGGGATTGGCAGCTCAGTGGTTTCCAGACTGGTTCCTGGGCATCCTGGCACCCACAGATTGTGATAGGAAAGGAAAGGTCAGTGAATAGGGGTGTACCCCCCCACCCTAGTTTCCACCAAAGAAATTGTGCATATCAATTTCAGGTACTGGATATCACTGCAAGTTTTTATTTAGACAAGAGCTCCACTGCACTCTATGGCCTCTCAGTGAGGTCTCTGCAACTCTGACCTTCTGGGAGGCTGATCTGGCAGTTCAAGTCCTGGGCTGGTGAGAGAAGCCAGAGGCTCTGGTGAGGGAAGTGGGTAGACTGTGGCTGTATTTCTGTGGCAATGCCGGGAGGAAGCAGGTCTCAGATCAGAGCTGCGAGATCAGGCACGGCAGAGGAGGCGCGCTGCAGACACATAGCACCTGCCTTTGCACCTGGGAAACACAGACCTTTGGCCACAGCAGCTTGGGAACTGGGAGCAGCACCCACCTTCCTGGGGGCCAGGCTAGTGCCTCTTCTCCTTTTTTGCCAGGCTGCCCAGGTTTGTTCTCAGTGGATGTGAGTTGCTGATGGCCAACCTAGGGCCACCCTAACCTCCCATGATAACATTCATGGTTCTCGCTGCTCAGCGCGATACCAGGGATACTTCAAGGCAAAAGCTGGGAATAGGTAAATCCCTCCCTCAGAAAGCATCCGATCATCCAATCAGCTCAGCAAGTAGGGGTGAATCCTCTTGAAAGAAGAAAACTAGGGCCTCCCCTGGTGCCTCAGCGGTTGAGTGCTGGGCTGCGAGGCTGCCCGTAGCCTCTGCAGCGCCGGTTCGTTCCCCGAGGGTCCCACCAAAAAGAAGAAGAAACCTGGCTTGTGCCCCTTTTATTGGCTATCCTAGACCAAAGTTTGCCTCTCTGCCTCCGTCTTCCCTTTTGGAACCTGGGCATAAGAATAGCGTCCCTCTTGGTGATTTCAGCTCGCATAGCTCACTGAATAACCTCATCTCCATGCTCCAGGTGGAGGAGAAAGCTGAGGGCTCCAGCTGCCCACAAACTAGAACTATCTAGCATCTTCCGTCTATCCTGCTGCCCACCGCAGGCCTTCTCTGACCCACCATTCATCTTCAACTTGCTGCAGGGCCTACCCTCACCCCACATAAGCAAAGCTGCCAGCAGGGTCCTTTGTGGTGCTGCTCCCGTGTGGCACTGCCTAGGGGCCCCACCATGGGGCAACAGATGGACCTATGGTCTCTACAGAACAATGGTGGGGGAGGGGCCCTGGCATCGCCCGCCCCAAACAGGAAGCGCCGCATGAGCTTCAAAGAACTGGCAGGGCCAAGGGGCTCAGTGGCTGGAGCTGGTGCCAGGACTGGCGGCTGCCTGAAGAGATGCCTGCCAGCCTCAGGATGCCCAGCCTGGCAGTGGGGGTGGGGTGGGGCTGCGCTGGCAAGGGCAGCTGAGTTGGGGTAGAGGATGCCTCGCACCCTGAGCCAGCTGCCACTGACCTGGGAGCAGGCTGAGGGGAGGGACTCAATCATAGGCTGTTTCCCAGCTCCGCTGCCACTGGCCAGCGGGGCTGCAGGTTCTTTCCCAGGTCACAGTGGATCTGGCCCTCCAGCAAGTAACCGTGAGGGGCAGGGCTGGCATCAAGCCTGCCGCCCACTCCCTGCCTCCTGCTCCCAGCTGCTCTGCTCAGAGCCTTTTCCTCTCCACTTCCTGTTCACACAGGGGGGGCGGGAAGTGGAGGGAGGAAGTTGGGGGGAGGCGTGTAGGGGGGACCCATTGAATAAAAGGAATTAACCGTTTCCCTCCTCTGACCTCTGGGAATTTCCGCCTGTGAAAGTGTCTCGAAGAATCTGCAGAGCTGGGGGAGTGGGAGGAGGTGTGCCCCCTGTCGGCCCCCTCCCCCCAGTTGTTGGTGGGGCCAGATAACTCCCTCTGGGCCCCCTAACCTTTTGTTTCCCTGGCGCCAGGGGGGCAGCGCCCAGGGCAGCCTGGAGCCTGGCGGCCTTGGAGCCCCCTCCCAACCAATGGGGTTGATGCCCATCCAGCTAGCAACCCAGTCCTGGGGGGAGGGGCAGGTACTGCGGGAATTGGAGGTTCTGGGAGAATGAGCTCACATCCAGGCTAACCGGGCTCTGTGCCCGCCTGGCAGGGATATTGCCCTTGGCCAGTCTACCTCGGGGTCAGGGAGGGGAGGCTGGCAGCCCGGGACTTCAACTGTGGTGCTACTCCGCTGGGGCTACTCCGGCACACCCTCAGATGGCCACTCCCTCAGAAGCTGTGGAAGGGAGCCCGTGGGTTCAGGAAGCCAGCAGACAGCGCTCCCTAGTGCCCACTGTCGACTGGGCTGAGTGGCCCCCCAGGGCCCTCTCAAGGGCGGGCCTCAGGAAGCACCTGCTCCCCAGGACCAGTGGCCGCCCTGTGTCTCCCCCAGGTGGCTTCCTTGTTTACAGGCCTCCTGCCCTGATCCCAGTGTCACTGCCTGTGGGCCACTCCTATTTCCAGTGACCGCTCCAGGAGCAGCTCATTCATCTTGGCCCCTGCCCGCTGCAGTTGCTCCCCCACACCACTCCATCCTGACCCTCCCGCAGGCTTAGGGCCAAGGCCCTCAGGGCCTTCTCTCTCCCCTCCATTCCAGACCTTGCTAGGTTTCCAGGGATCTAAGAGCAGAGACTTCCCGTTGCCCTGACTCAACGGAACGCCATTCTATCAGTGCCAGGGAAGCCAGGGGCCTTTTTCCAGGAAAGGGGAAGCAGCTTAGGACCAGATGGGCAGGCCTAAGAGAGGACAGAAGGGGCAGGGGCATCCCAGCCTGTCTCAGCCAAGTCCTCTGGGAGGCGGGAGCACCAGGGCAGTGTTTGTTTAACTAACATGTATCAGGGACCCATTATGTGCCGAGACAGAAGCCCCAAGCTGCTCTAAGTAACAAGTGACAACGCCGGTGGCAGGCCAATGTTTTCCCTCTAGTTCGGTCAGCGGGGGCCAGGGCCCTAGGCCCGCCACCGGGCACATCTAAATCTGAAGGAAGTCTTGGGCTCCGTGGGGAGAAGGGAACGGGAGAGTGCTCCAAATCTCCCTCAACGGTGGGCAGGGAGCAGGGTTAGGAAGCCTTCCCTCTACTCCCGCAGGCCCCCATCCTCCCAGTGCTTCCACTCTGGGCTTCTGGGGAAGATGGAAAGTCTGAGGCCCATCGGAGATGGGCTGCTGCTAGCTTCTGTTGGGAGAGGCCATGAAGAGACCCTGTGGTTCCAGCGACTGGGGCATTCAGCAGCTCAAGATTTCACAGGGACCGCGGAGATAAAAGTCCTGCAGGAGGATGAGGCTGCAGGGAGAAGGGAGCCTGCAGTTACCGGCCAGGTGGCCTGACCCCAGCCTGATTCCAGGAACACTCATTATTTTGTTTCAGTCTGGACAGCTGATAGACCACACCCATAGAGCAGGTCGGTGGACTATGAACACCAGTCCACAGAGCAAAGGGTGCCCAGCTGATGTCACAGGCAGGCCCCAGGCCACAACTCCCTAAGGCTTAGCCTCCGGTACAACGAAAGAAGTATAATCTGGAGGGAGGGGCAGGCCACAGCCGCTAGATGGGGAGAAAACACATCTGCTAAATGCCAAGGCAGTGGCAGTCTCCCCTCCATGTCGGACCTCAGCGTTATGGCTAAGTGCCAGAGAGTGGCCGGGCAGTATCAAAGTCAGACAGAAGCCGGGAATGCAGGGATCCAAGCTGGCATAGAGAGTGGTAAGCAAAATCTAGCATGTGTAAGGGCTATGGGAGGGAGACGAGTTGGGGGCTGAGATTCATGGCTAGGTCGTGGAGACACCAGAAAATTCTTGGGACAAATAGGAAGAGAAGACAGAAGCAGCACTGGCGCAGTAAGTGCCTTGAGAAGTCAGTGCCCCCAGCAGCCCGAGTGTGAAGGGTTGTGCGGGGAGCAGCACCACCTGCTGGCCAAAGGGAAGAACAGTTCCTTCTCTGTGATTTAGGAGCTTGGAGCGAAATTACCAACTGAGGCCTGGGGTCAGAGAGGAGAGAATGGAGGGACAAGGAAGCGAACAGAAAAAGGGGTGACCATTCTGCCTCATCTCCAAATAAAGGAGTAAGGGTCCCTGGCAGTCTCCGTCTGGCACCCCAGCCCCTCCTGGAGATCACTACACACCACTCAGCCCAGCAGCAACACACTATCAGCTCTAGAGCCACCAGGGCAGCACAGTTGAATGCTCTCTACTCCCACTGTTCTCCATGAGGCCCTCTTCTCCAGGCACCCCCTCATCGACCACCCTCAGTACCACCTATACCCTAATACCCCAGAAGTGGAGGGGCTACCTCTCCAATTCTAGGACCAAAGGCAGACAGAAGGGAGGTCTTCCTTTGAGGGAGAAGAGGCACAGAGTGAAAAGGAACAATGAGACTCTCGTTCTAGAAGATAAACAGGATATATGTCAGGAGTGAAAAGGAAAAAAAGAGCTGTTAGATACGGGGTGGAGGGCATGGGGTTGGATTTCTCACTTTTCAAGGCTCAGGCCCTTACTGGGAGGCAGGCTGATGGGCTGGCATGACAGCAACTCTAAGGCAGGTGTGACGAACAGCACAGGCAGCTGGCAGAATGTACTCACAGCAGACACTTCATGGGCAACAGCTGTAATTCCACTGCCCCAACACAGTCACGGCCAGCAATCTCCAGATGACTGTGCACACACTACAGTGTATGTAGTCTTAACAAGAGGGAGCAAGTAGCTGCCTCCCACTGCCTGCCCACATATCAGGCGCAACACCTTTCTACAGCCAACTGAGGTGCTCCTCCTCATAGCGCTGGGGGTCGATGAAGGGCCGGTCAATAGAGCGGATCATCAACTCCCCACAGTAGACGCACTCAGCGGCTACCAGTTCATCCAGGTCAGCTTTGAGCTGTTCCCGGCTGGGTCCCCCAGGGGCAGCCCCACCCTCAGCCTCTTTGGCCCGGGAAGAGCCCTTAGTGGGAGGTGGAGCAGCCCCCAGCTTTCGTTGCAGCTCCTCAAGCCGGGCCTGCTTGTATGCAGGCAGGCCAGGCCGCACGGCCTGTAGCAAGCAGTCAGCATGGAACATGTGGCCACAGAGGAAAAGGTAAAAAGGGCGATTGAGCAGGGGAAAATCGCATGTGGCACATTTGTCCTGGGGCTCCACAGTGCCGTAGCGACCCCGCAGCTCCTGCAGGTCTCGCCGGATGCGCTGGGCACTGGCGGTGGCCTCTTCCATCTCTCGCTGTAGCTCCTGGATGTGGTGGTTGTAGGCTTTAAGGGAACTGCAGATAGCCTCCTTGAAGTGGTCAATGGTGACAAAGTCAGGAAAGAAGGGGAGCACATCCTCAATCTTGAGCAGAGGGCAGCTGGCCAGGCAGGCCATGGCTGTTTGCACATCTTCTTCCTCCTGCACCACATGCCGTGCAATCTTCAGCCACAGCTTCTTGCGCAGTTCCTCATCTTCCTCGGGCAGGTCTGCACACTGCTTGGCCAGGTCCACGTCCACCTGTGGGGAGACTATTAGGGTTAGGGTGATGCCCCTCCCCATCCTGCACAGGGACTGTGGAGAAGTAGATGCCCAGGGAGAACTTGGGCCTGAAGTGAAGCCTGGCAGTCTTGGTGGCAAGCAAGGCAGGGCTTCTGGGGTCTGGTTAGAAAACTGTCTTAGTAATGGGACTGTCCCCACCACAGCTATGAAACAGCAACTTATGGTGATGGGGTTTCCACATCAGTGAACCTAAAAGTCACCTGGGGGAACATATTCGAAACACAGATTTTGTGGCCCTACCCTCACTTTTTTTTTTTTCTCAAGATTCATTTATTTATTTATACAAGCACTGGGTACAGTCAGAAGCGCGGGAGGGTGAGAGAATTCACCAGAGCCAGAGCGGGGAGCAGAGCAGGCAGAAGGACCGAAGTACACTGCTGAGGGCAGGAGAGGTCTGCGCGCCATGTGGGACCCTCGCCTGGCGGCCGGGGATTGAACCGGCACTGCAGAGGCTGCGGGCAGCTTCGCAACCCAGCGCTCAACCGCTGCGCCACCGGGGAGGCCCGCCCTACCCTCACATTCTAATTCAATTAAGGACCAAGGTTCAGAAGTTTGTATCTTAAATAGTAGGTCATGTGATCCTAAAGCAGGTGACAAGTCCTGATTTGAGAAATGGTAACTCAGCGCCTTTCCCGTCTGCAGTTAGTGAGCATAACGCAACAGCTAGCATCTGTAGAGCCTGCCTATGTGCCCGCACTGTTCTGAGTGCTCTTCATCCACAGACTTAATCCTATGAGGCAAGGACTATTACTCCCATTTTGCAGCTGAATAATCTGAGGCAGAGAGAGGTTCAGAAAGTAACCCTCGGTCACACTGCTTAGTAAGTTGTAGAGCCAGAACTCAAACCAACTTCAGAATCTGTGGTCTTAACTTGTGCACTCCTGTGCCTCTCCACAAGGGAGGCAGCACCCTTTAACCAGTCCCCCACCCCAACCCTTCACCACCTGAAACTAGTTCCCCAACCTATCTCCTGGATGGGGTCAAAAGTCTTCAGCTCACCTGCAGGGCCAGGTCCACAGCCTCCTCATACAGCTCCAGGACTTTGTAGACATGGACACAGGCACGGTGGTGGCCATGCTCGGCACAGAGCCGCAGCGCATACTTGAGGTCGTAATGCACACGGTGTGGGCTGGCTCCAGCCTGCTCAAGGTAAGCCAGCAGTGAGGCAGGCTGGCCACGGGCGTACAGCGACAGCAGGTAGTTGTGAATGGCCTGCTCAGTCTCGCCCAGCACGTTCACGCAGAACTCCATGTAGCGGATGGCCTGGCTTACTTGCTGGGCCTCGCCACCCTGGCTGTAGTTCACCAGGGCAGGGATGAGCTGCCGGGCATCCAGCCTGCTGCCCAACTCAATCCAGGCATCCACCAACTGGCAGGGGATGTGGCGGATGAGGATGGGTGAAAACTTGTAGAAGAGCTGGGGGTCACGATGTCGGGCAAGCACAGCCAGGGCCTCCTCATAAGATTCATGCTGGCAGTGGTATGCCACCACTCGCTCATAGTCCTGCATGATCACAGCAAAGTACACCATGTGTTCTGCGTCCCCATGGCTGGCCAGCAGCTCGTGGATGGAGGCCCGGCTGGCGAAGAGCCACTCCTTGTGGCGAGGGCTGCTGAGGAAGTCCCGGAAGCGCTCCCTCGTTTCCCGGTAGAGGTTCAGGGCGTCTGGATCACCCTGCAGGGCCCCGAGTCGGCTCAAATAGAGCTCTGTCAGCCAGGTGGTAAGCAGGGTGGCCTGCGTACGCTCGGCTGGCTTCAAACCACCCAGTTTTCGCTGCAAGAATTCAGCCAGTGCCTCTTCCTGTCGGGCCTCCAAGAACTTGAGGGCAATCTCCTCAAAGTAGCTTTGGGTCAAGGCATAGCAGCGGGCGCTCTCCAGGTAACGACGCTGGCGAAAGCAGAAATCAGCCTCCCGAGACAGCACTGTGTCCAGGCAGTCAGGCCGCTCTCGACAATACTCTTTGGCCAGGTCAAAGCGGTTCATGTCCAAATAGGTGCGCCAAACATCTCGGGACTCCCGCTGAACATGGTAGCGAAAGACAGCACGCTCGGTGTAGGCCCACAGGTGGCCCGTGGAGGAGTCCTTCACCATGTGTTTCAGTGGCCCAAACTTCTCCAGGAAGTGATCCCGCAGCACCACCTGCCCTGTCAGTGTGCACACCGCCTCCACCCGGTCTGCCAGCAGCAGCAGGAAGTGGAACTGGGTCAGGACAATGGCCAGGGGTGGGCTGGCTCCTGGACCAACCCCCTCTGGGTATTCCCAAACTCGTTCCTCACTCAGCAGGGAGTCAGGACGCCCACAGTCCAACGATCCATACAACACGCCATCCCCCATCATCCAGGCGAAAGCCCGGGGTGCAGAGCGCAACTTGGGAGTATAGAAGGCCAACTCACTGTAGCCCAGACTGCTGGGGAACTCACGGAATGGGGGTGGGTGGTCAGCATAGGCAGCAAAAAGCCCTGAGAAGCCCTGGCCCTCAGTCCCCTCTGCTGTTCGGCTTAAAAACTGGAAGAGGCGTTGGCGAGTAGTAGCAATAACAAAGCCACGGCCATCGGGGCCTCGCTCCGCCTCCAGAGAGCACACAGGTGCTGGACCCCCTTCTTCATTTAGCACATACAATGGGCGGAAGTAGAGATCCGGAGCAGGGCCGAAAAGTCCACCCTCATTGGCTGAGAGCTCTGCTTCGAAGATCTGGCCTTGGGCAGTGCCGACCAAGATGGGGCCTGTGCTGCTTTCAGTGCCTAGTGCCTTGTTCCAACCCACACTCTCCACCAGCTGTCCCTTCCAGCGTGCTAGTGGCCGTACCTTCTGTCCATTACGGTTCACATAGAGGACTTCAGTGCTGCTCAGAGCAATCAGCAGGTGAGAGCCTGGGGTGGGGGAGAACATGCCATTTCCTCAGCTTCTTCCTTGCCCCCACCACCCTCAATCCCACAAGTCCAGGGGAACCACCACTTACCAGTATGGTCCAGGAACATCTTGTGAACTTTGGCATCATCCTTGCGCCCCAGCTCCATGTGGTTGGGTTCATTTGCTTTGCCCAGGTCAATGCTGTGGAGACAAGAGTCATAGCATCCTCTAGAGAAGATAACAGCATTTCTTCCCTGAAATCTATATATACTCATACAGTTCTGAATATAATCCCCAGGAAGCTCTGAAACACACACAGGGACCTGCTTAAAACCCTCAGTTCTGAGAATTCCCCACCTCATTCTGAGAAGTCACTAAGCAGAAGTATTTTGTCTCTGCTCCACAAATCTCCAATACATCTGGGAAGACAGACGGGGACATCCCAGATTGCTGGGGTAAGAAAGAAATAGTAGCTAATGTTCACTACCTACTTTCTATATATCAAGCACCACATCAAGAGTTTAATAGGGCCTCCCTGGTGGCGCAAGGGGTTAAGAACAGCACTGTCAAGCTGTCCGTAGCCTCTGCAGCACGAGTTCGATCCCTGGCCGGACAAGGAACTACCTACATGGCACAGCAGATCGCTCCTGCCTCGCCCGCTGCTCCCCTCAGCTGTGGATTTCAGTCAGTCTGCCTGTTCTGTTCCCCACTCTGTCTCTGGTGAATCCTCTCACCTCCCACACCTCTGTCCTGTACCCCAGTTCTTGTACACATAAATAACTCTTGGGGAAAAAAAATTAATGGTATCTCAATCTTCACAATGATCTTCAGGGGTTCTCCTGTTTAAATTGTACTTCCCTTATTAAATTCTTTTTTATGCTCATTCTAACTAAAGAATCAATGCAACGGTGTATAAAAAGTTAATGATTTTCTTCTCAAAGAAAAAAACAAAGCCAAAAAATACCCTGTCATTCCTAACAAAAAACACTGATATTAAGATCTTTTCCATCTTCATATGAATAGGGTTGTTTTGTCACTGTTTTTACTATTTTGCTATGTGCCTTCAGATTGTGTATGTGTGTGATGGAACATACTAAATCATAAATTGCTTTCTCAGTGATTTTTCATGAATAATCTATTAAGTCAGCAGATACAGCTCTAAAGCACTGTTTCAATAATTGCATAATGGCCCCTTTAATGGCTGAACCATAATTTTTTAAAAATCAATCTTTCTTTTTAGAGGTCTGCTGCGCCATGTGGGTGGCTCCCTGGCCAGCTAGAGATCAAACTCATGATGCAGAGGCTGCAGATAGCTTCACAGTGCTGTGCTTAACCCCTTGCACCACCAGGGAGGCCCTGAACCATAATTTTAAAAAATTGAACTGATTGGGGCCTCCCTGGTGGCTCAAGGGGTTAAGCACCGCACTATGAAGCAATCTACAGCCTCTGCAGCATGAGTTCGATCCCAGGCCGGCCAGGGAGCAACCCACATGGTGCAGCAGACCTCTCCTGTCTCACCCGCTGCTCCCTCAGCAGTGTACTTCGGTCAATCTGCCTATTCTGTTCCCCACTCTGTCTCTGGTGAATCCTGTCACCCCCTGCATCTCTGGCCTATACCCCAGCTCTGTATGCATAAATAAATAAATCTTTAAAAAAAAATTGAACTGATTGACACAATTGCTGTGGCCACTATGTATAGACTGGAGAAGGGAAGAGCATCATTTCTTGGTCTCTTCCTCCTTGGACAGAATCCTAATGAGCTTCCTCTGGGCCTGGAGCCACTCTTCAGGGTGTCTGCATGCCTCCTTGGTCTTAGACCTGTAGGCCTCAGCCTGGTCAGCCAAGAGCTTCTTGCAAGCCTTGTCTGCCTTCAGCTTGTGGTTATTTTCCATGAGAATCCACTTGTTTTTTGAACATACTCCTCTTCACTGTCAGGTACAGACTATGATGCATGTGGTAGTGAATCTTCTCAGAGTCATGGTAGCTTCTGAGCGCCACGGAGAATTCCCAACCTCCTCATCCAGGTTACCTTCTCGGGCATTTTAACATTGCAGTATCCTCTCACTTACCTATGCCCACATGCTTGCCCTTTTGGCAGGCCAAGATGTTTTTCCAGCATCAAGCCCAGGACTGGATAGTCATGGGCATCTAGATGATCAGTCTGTCTTTGATTGGCTTGCATATCTGCTGACAGGGGCTGGCATTGGCAGTTTCATTGGTCTCACTGGTGTCCAACCAGACTTGCTTTGTGCCACAGTGGAGGACACTGGAGGTAAGCCTCGTCTGAAGCGTAAGCATATTCATGGGTATGGCCACAGCACCGAAAGGAAAGCTGAACCATAATTTAATCATAATTTTCCTGTTGATGCGCATTCAGCTTGGGTTCAATTTTTCCTACCACAAATGCTGCAATTAATATTCTTGCATCTGAGGCCTCCCTGGTGGCGCAAGGGGTTAAGTATGAAAATGAAGCTATCCACAACCACAGTACCACGGCATGGTACGGGTTCAATCCTGGACCAGGGAGCTACCCACATGGCGCAGCAGACCTCTACTGTCTCGCCCGCTGCTCCCCTCAGCAGTGTATTTCAGTCAATCCACCTGTTCTGTTCCCCACTCTATCTCTGGTGAATCCTCTTATCCCCCTCACCTCTGGCCTATACCCCAGCTCTTATATGCATAAATAAATAAATCTTAAAAAAAAATTCTTGCATCTATATTTCTTGCAACTATATTCTTTCTATAGTTACATATTCCTCAAAGTGGGATTGTAGGACAAAGTAAAAGACATTAAAAAAATTTTAAAAGACACTACCAAATTATTTTTCCAAAAGATGGTGGCAATTTACACTCTCAACAGCAATGTGTGAGTCCATTTCTGTGTATCTTTACCAGCAACATATATTATTGTTTTTAATTTTTGTTTCTGATGCTTTTGCCTTCTCTTTACTACTCAATTGTCTTTTTCTTAATTTGTAAGGTTTTTTTTTTTCCTTTTTTTAAGGAACAGGGATGTAAATCCTTAGTCACATGTAAAAAAAAAACCATTATTTTCCCACCATTTTGTGTCTTAACTTGATTCATAGTTTGTTTTTATTTTGTAATAACAGCAGTTACTTTCTAGTCAAATATATCTATCTTCCCTTGCAGCTTCTGGATTTTCTAACTTGAATAAGGTCTCCTTTCAGCCCAAGAACATAGTAATTTAATAAATATTCTTTTGATATTCATATTGCTTAGTTTTTATATTTAAATAATTATTCCACCTGGAATTCATTTTTGTGATACAGAGTTGTTTTTTGTTTTTTTTTAAAGATTTATTTATTTATACAAGCACTGGGTACAGTCAGAAGCGCGGGAGGGTGAGAGAACTCACCAGAGCCAGAGCAGGGAGTAGAACAGGCAGAGTCATGGAATACACTGCTGAGGGGAGCAGCGGGCGGCAGGAGAGGTCTGTGCGCCATGTGGGACCCTCGCCTGGCAGGCGGGATCGAACGGGTGCTGCAGAGGCTGCGGGCAGCTTCGCAGCCCAGCGCTGAAGCGCTGCGCCACCAGGGGAGGCCCCGTGACAGAGTTTTAACTTGGTGTTATCCCAGGTGGCATAAATATTTGGATAAATAACTTACTGACACATTTGTCATGTATTATTCCCACTTAATGATTTATTTTCAATTCTATTGAGATATAATATTACTTCCATATACAGCAAATCTGCTTCAGGGCTCCAGGCAGTTGCACTGAGCAATATGACTAACTTATGGGTTGAAATTTTCTTTAACAGATGAAGGGACACATTTAGAAAGGATGCGTGACTTAAGATTCTATAGCTGGTAAGTGGTAGAACTGGGATCTGAATCCAAGTCTATTTGATGGTTAAGTACTACACTACCTAGGTTCTCTTTGAGAAGGGTTAGGATATTTTCTGAAAATTTGAAATCCAATGCTTTACCTGCCCAGAGCAGGAGAAAGGCCCCAGTCAGTGAATAGTCCCCAAACCACCAACCCAATCCCTACTTCTAAACCTTTTGGGCCTTCAAGTTACCGGAGCAGTGTGTCCTTGCCCAGGCTCATGCAGAGTTGATTGCAGGAGACAACAAGACTGGTGATGCGCTCTGAAGGAGTAAAGTCAATGCGCTGTTTCGTGAAGATGGGCACTTCCTTCTCTAGTTGGGCATTCACATACCCTACAGGTGAGGAGGGGAGAAAAGATTAGCTATGGAGAAATAAGGCAAGACAACAAAAAACCAGGGCTCCTCTCCACTTTCTCAACATATTCCTACTCTAGGACTGAACAGTTGGTTATCAATAAATACATCAAGCAGTTTGCTAACTGCTTCTACACTAGAAGTCCTGGGCTCTTCCCACAGTTCTGAAAGCAGTGAGAGATTGATTCTTTGAATGCCTGGAACGCTGTTATACCATGACGTACCTGCTCCAAAATCGTAATGGTGGAAGGTAGTGGGCATACTCCCTTAATAATCTATGGCAGCTCGGGCCTCCCCGGTGGCGCAGCGGTTGAGCGCTGGGTTGCGAAGCTGCGCGCGGCCTCTGCGGCGCCGGTTCGATCCCCAGCTGCTCCCCGGCCACCAGAGGAGGGTCCCACATGGTGCGCAGACCTCTCCTGCCGCCCGCTGCTCCCCTCAGCAGTGTACTTTGGTCCTTCTGTCTGTTCTGCTCCCTGCTCTGGCTCTGGTGAATTCTCTCGCCCTCCCGCGCTTCTGACTGTACCCAGTGCATGTATAAACAAAACAAACAAACAAACCAGCAAACAAATAAATAAAGCATGCCTCTATAAAAAAAAAAAAATAATCTATGGCAGCTCAATCCCAGCTCAACTAATACAACCTAGGTTCACTCTCTCCTCTCCTACCCTACCCATGCAATAATCCTCTTTGGTGAGCCTCCAGAAGAATGAGGGCAGAGGGAGCCTGATTTGTTAACGAACTGCAGCAGCCTTCTCTCTAGCTTTTACTCTTCATCCTTTACCATTGTGTAAAGTATCCCAGCACTTCCGATCTCTCTGCCAAATCTATATTACTGTCCGCAATCATTTCCCCTCAACTCCAGGTAGCACTCGGCTTTGGCAAGGATCTAAAATATTTCATTTTCCCCTGATGAGTGACAAAGTTCCCTGTAGGGCCATACTTCCTTCTCTTACAACATTCCCCTCTTCACCAATTTCTTCCTCCCACCTCCTGAAAGGCCAGGTAGAAAACCACAGAATCAGAAGCCTGTAGCCCATTCTCAGTTCTCTCACCAGCAGCCCTGCAGGCAAGTCACTTCCTTCTCTGGAACCCAGTTCCCTCTTAGAAGAACCCTATTCACAGGGCCAGATCACGCAGAGGCTCTTGCTGCTCCTTCGGCCATTTCCAACTGGGGGCCAAGAAAGCCCGAGGAGAGTAAAGGGCCTAGACCCGCACTGCACATCCAGGAGATGAACCCGAGCTCTTGGAGCCGCCCTCCCAGCTCCCGCCAGAAGAGCCGAGGAGGAGTAGCGGCGCCCTCCATTCCCTTACCGGAGTGAGGAATGCCCACGCTGGGGCAGCCAGGCTGCAAGACGGCCGAGCGGGACAGGGAGTCCTCATATTCATCCAGGATGGACGCCATGGTGCCCGGTCTCTGGGCCCTCGATCCCGGGCCCAGGGATTACAACGGGGCACCCCTTCCCCCCAGGGATCCCCGTCGCCCTGGACTAGAAGCTGCGGCTCCTCCGTCTCGGCAGGGATCTGACAGATCCTGGCAATCGTCGCGGACACTTCCTCTTTAAATGCCGAGGATCTTCTCGTCCTCTCCTAATAGAGAAGACCGGGGAGCCCGCCCCCCTCGAGCCAGGCGCGGTCCTGCCCACCACTCACGCCCCAGGAGATCACCCGCTCCCTTTTGCCGGTGGCAGGTGATCCAACCTCGCCCGGACAGCTCAGCTGACTCCCGCCCCCGGGGCGCGCGCCTATGGCGTCACTTCCGCCTTCTGGCAGCCGGACGTCTGCCGGCGCAGAAACGTCGCGGGGCCGCCGCTGGGAGGCGCAGTGAGGGCGCAAGGACGGGGCGGGGCGGGGCGAGTGGGCGGGCTGGGGCGGGGCTGGGGGCGGGGCTGGGCGGGAGCGGGCCCCTACTGGCTGGCGCGGGGCGGGAACCCGGCCGCAGTGCCGGGGCAGCTTTTCGCCCAGGCGTGGACGCGTCCTCGCCGGCGAGGAGCAGTGTCGGGCGGGCCCGGCGGAGCGCACGCACTCCCGCCAGCATCATGCTGCAGTTCCGCGTTTGGACACTAGGGGGCAACCCCGGCCTGCTCAGCCCGCGCGCACCCCGGCCCACTGGCCACAGACGCGAACAGCGCTTTTCATGCCCAGGTTTTCCTCCCTCAGGTGGACGGCCCAGCCTCCCTGTCCGGCTCCAGCCTTGTAAACAGCCTGGGTCTCAAGAGAACGTCCTGTTGCTCCATTTAATCTGTGTGTCACAAGACACAGGTAAGCAGTCCTGGCCTCTCTTCTCCCTCATGGAGCAGCCGCCCAGCTTCCAGAAGCTGGTGGAGCTGGTGGCCTGGCCGGCTGGAAGCCACACCCTTCCTCACCTGCCTGTAACCTGCGCCCTGGCGGCTCCTCCGTGTGGGCAGAGACAGAATGAGGCTGTAGGGAAGACAAGGCACACTGAGGGGGGCCACGGTGAGGCGCTTCCGTTCACCCACTCCACAGAATTGTGCTGAGCACTTAGGCCTGCCTGGCTTTGGACTAGCCGCGGGGTCGCAGAGGGAAATACAGAGCTGTCTTTGCGCTTTGACCAGCAGGGCCAGTGGGGAAAGTAAATTGATAGTTAATGCTAGAAAAGCAAATGATGGATTTGGGGGCTCCCTGGTGGCCTAGGGGTTAATTTTCACCCCTGTCACCAGGAGGGCACCTGAATCTGCTTGTTCTGCTCCCCACTCTGTCTTTGGTGACTCCTCTCACACACAACCCCCCCCCCCACAACCTCTAGCCCAGTTCTTGTGCGTGAAAAAAAAAAAAAAAAAGGAAAAAAGATGGATCTGTTCAGAAGCTCACTCTTCCCAGAAGTAAGCCAGGTAGGGGGGCACTGGGGGGCACTGGGGACACTGTTCAGGTTCTGGGGGGCACTGTAGAGAAGAAAATGGTGTGCCGGTATGTGGCCACAGCACGTGGGAGCACGGACAAGCAGGAAACAAATACCTGCAATTCCAGGAAGGAAAGAGGGTGAAGCAGATGGGGAGTCCTAAGAAGTGGAACTTTGAGGGTTCCAGTGGGACTGCGCTTGGTTTCCATCTCCCACCCGCCTAGGCAATCTAGACGGAGTGTCTTCTGGGGCCCACGAACTCTCCCTTGCTAAAGCGAAAGGCTTTGGAGCAGGGTCAGCGCCTACTGGCTTTGGCGGGTTTCCCCGCGTATAGAGAAAGAGCACCCCTTTTACTTTTTTTTTTTAAGATTTATTTATTTATGCATACAAGAGCAGGGGTATAGGCCAGAGATGTGGGGAGTGAGAGGATTCGCCAGAGACAGAGTGGGGAGTAGAACAGGCAGACTGACTGAAATGCACTGCTGAGGGGAGCAGCGGGCTAGACAGAAGAGGTTTCGCCCTGGCCGGCTGGGGCTCGAACTCGTGCTTGCAGAGGCTGCAGATTGCTTCACAGTGCGGTGCTTAACCCCTTGGGCCACCAGAGAGGACCCCACCCCTTTACTCTTAAAAGCTGTCAGGTTTGCACATTGTATAATTCACGTTGCTGTTGCCAAGCTTCTCTACCAGCTGCCACCCATGGGCTGAGTCCGGGAAGGTACAATAACCTCGCCTTGTCAGGGTCCCATTACTTTTGCCCAAAACCTGCGGCTTCGTCCGTCGCCGATCTCCACGTCAGGGGAGCCCGCCTTTTGGTCTAGGTGCTAAGGGCAAAGAAGTTTGGAAGCCGGGCCATTGGCAGGTTTCCTCCTGGGAAATGTGATCCATGCCAGAGCGCTGCCCTGTTCCGTGCATAATAAGCCTCCACCTGGGATCACCTGTCGTGCTCATTAGGGAAAACAAATAGGTCCAACCAAAGGTCAAATAATCATGAACGGTGCATTTTCTGACTACTCACAGTGTACCAAGCACCACACCAGGTTCCTAATATTCTTTGTTATTTCATTTTATCCTCACACCAATGCTATGAAGCAGTCACTGCTTTCTCCCACCTTGCAAAAGAAGAAACAGTAGTTCAGAATGGTGGAACAATTTATTCAAGGTCATGTAGTCAGAAAGTGGAGAAACCAGGAGGTATAATATTCAAATCCAAGCAAATGCTGAAGAGTTTAACCACCACGTTTTCCATGTCCCCAGGGAAAGCTGAAGAAAGGGAAGTGCAGCCAGTTCCCTCAGTTGTGTTCTGTGCAGTGTCCTCCCTGTCTGGAGCCCATCAACACAGGAGGGGTGTCGCAGGGACCCAGTCCTTCTAGCTGCCTCAGAGCCTCTCTTAGTTAACCTGCTGGCAGAGATGCATGGGGTGGGGCCTAGATGGGCCTTGCTTGCTATCAGCTCTTTCCCTACTCCCTGTTTAGTTGACTGAAAAAAGTGTATCATATCTCTATATACTCATTCTTCCATCCTTAGGCTGGACCTGGCAGTAAGAACCAGAGACCAGACTTCTTATCGCTGCACAGTGGCTCCGAAGCTGTGACACTGCACATTTGAAACTCTTAGCTTCCGTTTCCTCCTCCACAGGAATTAGATAGGATCCTTAACTTATATTTTTAAATTTATTTGTATTCATTTATGCATACAAGAACTGGGGTATAGGCCAGAGGTGTGGAGGGAGAGCAGGCACCAGAGACAGAGTGGGGAACAGAATAGGCAGATTGACCGAAATACACTGCTGAGGAGAGCAGCGGGCGAGACAGGAGAGGTCTGCTGCGCCATGTGGGTAGCTCCCTGGTGGGGGATCAAACTCATGCTGCAGTGGCTGCGAACAGCTTCATAGGTTGTCTTAATCCCTTGCACCACCAGGGAGGCCCTGATCCCTAACTTTTAGTAGTAGGTCTGTGTTGAAGAGTAAATGAAGTGATCTAGATGAAAGCTCATTGCTATAGTGCGATGTCCTACATAGAGCCTATGCTCAATAAACTCTAAATGTGGCTTTAATCTAACAGCCCATCTCAAGCCCACCTCCTCCATGAAGTCTCCCAGGACCACAACTTCTCTTTCAGGACTGCTATGACTTTTCTTGTCCTGGCCACCTAATTATGAAGTATGGACATTTTGCTTTGATATAACCAAAACTGATTGTGAAGAATAATTCAAACATTCCTGAGCACAGAATACCGAGCTGCTTTAGGGGACTCATAGCTGCAGCTTTAGATCTATTATTTCCTACCCCTCAAAATGCTTGTGGCAGTTGCCATGAGACAGGTAAGTTCTGCTGCTGGGCCAGGGAGACAGAAAATTTGTGTATGAAAGCAGGGCAATTTGAGCTAAGATTTGAAGAACATGCTTGATTTCCAAGGGCATTAGGTAGAGCTCAAGAAAGCAAAAGTGGGGCCTCCCTGGTGGCGCAGCGGTTGAGCGCTGGGTTGTGAAGCTCCCCGCCGCCTCTGCGGCGCAGGTTCGATCCCTGGCCGGCTCCCCCCCCCCCCCCCCCCCCCCCCCCCCCGCAGACCTCCCCTGCCACCCACTGCTCCCCAGCAGTGTAGGCCCCCAGGGTCCCACATGGCACGCAGACCTCCCCTGCCACCCACTGCTCCCCTCAGCAGTGTACTTCAGTCCTTCTGCCTGCTCTGCTCCCTGCTCTGGCTCTGGTGAATTCTCTAACCCTCCCGCGCTTCTGACTGTATCCAGTGCATGTATAAACAAATAAATAAATAAATAAAAATACATGCCTCTTTAAAAATAAATAAGTAAGTAAATAAATAAATAAATAAAAGAAAGCAAAAGTGTACAAAACAGGGGTTGGGGGAGCTCCCACCCCCAAGAGCTGGAGCACTAGGGAGTAGGGCAGTGGAGGAAATGTGTATGACCTTGACCAGATTGTGAAAGACACTGAAAAGGCCATCAGAAGGCTTTGGTTGGAGATGAGATCATCTGATGTGAGTTCTAGAAAGATGGGCGGTGGCTTGGGTGGAGTCCACATTGGAGTATGAGACCTGAGGCAGAAGCGCAGGAGGAGTAGCGAGGACCCACCTGGAGAAAGAGCAGACTGGGAACACTCTGGGAGACATTTCCGAGGAAGGGCCCCCTGTACTTAATGTAAAATTAGACGTGGGAGGTAAAGGGAGGGTGTGGGATAGCTCCTGGGGAGATCTGGCTTTGGTGTAGTGACACTGCTGTCCAAGGGGAAGGAGGCCTGGGGGTGGGGGGCAGAGGTCACAGGATTGAGCTTAATCTGAAAGGACCCATTTGGAGTCCCTGCAGGGCATTTACCTGCACCATGGGTTCATCTCTCACTCACTAGTATATATGTATTAGACATTTGCACAAAGGAGCTTCCTCATGCTTCAGTGTCTACATTTGTAAAATGAAAAAACTTTACCTTCGAGCATTCTAAGTATTTTAGGATATTATACAGATCACTCAGCACTGTGTTATACCTAGAAGGTCCTCAATACAAGTTAATTGTTAGTGATTGTCGACTGAATGAAGACCCAGACTAAAAGAATGATTTAATTGACTTAAGTGAGTCATTAGTTTTTAAAAAATAGATAATTAAAAAAAAATTATTTTTATGTAGAAGAACTGGGGTGTATGCCAGAGGTGGGGGGAGGGTGAGAAGATTCACTAGAGAGAGAGTGGGGAGCAGAGCAGGTGGATCTATTGAAAGACACTGCTGAGGGGAACAGTGGGTGAGACAGGAGAGGACTGCTGTGCCATGTGGATCAGCTCCCTGCCTGGGGATTGAGCTGAGGCAGTAGAGGTGATAATCCCTTGACCACCAGGGAGGCCCCCAAAAAGATACTT